GGTTTACACCCGTTTCGGCAAAGGGGGGGGGGGCGGGGCAGTGATCCCATCGAAAGGAACGACGGGGTGTTGATTCACAACACCAACCGGTGATTCCCTGTTACGCCTCTCCGAGGAACAAGAGACGACGATGGGGATGAGCTAACAAATATCCTGCACCCTTAGGTCAACCTACGCACAAAAGTAGAAGCTTGTCAAAGAAAAAGGAATAGCTCTTGTAGTTGCTTCCGGTATGCTCTGGCGGAAATTGGGGAACCAAGACCAAGCTTGCCTGAAGAAGGTAGTCCTTCTGAGCCTGCCGGGCCTCCTGGGAGATCCACGGGCTCGAAATCCACCTGTTGTGCTGGCCCGGCTTGGTGATCTTCAGGAATAGTACGATAATGCCACGAAAGGCACGCGAAAGCAGCACCACCGCCAGCCGGGAGAGTTATTTTCACATGCACGCGACTAACGAAGGCGTGTTTTTGGCTGGTGGAAGCACTGTGTGAAAGCGCTGTCCAGAGAGAGTGGTGGAGGTCAAGCAACAAGCAGCCGTTCCCTATTGCCTTCGTAGCCTACGGTTCGCCAAAATACAACACTTTCTTTCGTGTGTTTACCCCCATGGCTTGTATCCGCTGGCTTCGTTTTTCCCTTCCCAATACTTGAGGGGAAAACCAAAGGCACTCACGCTGAGGTACAAGTGTGCGAGCGGGCTGGTAGTGTCCTTGATGACCCTGTCTCTCTCCTGCCGCAAGAAGTGCGTGGCCGCCAAGGCCGCTGAGTACCGATCCAGCTCCTGGTGGGGAGCGTTCGGTTCCACGCAGCCAAGATAAGGCAGCATCATCGTCAGCCATCAGCAAGCACCGTGGCAACAGCGGGAGCAACACGAACAGAACGGGCACCGCATCAACCATGTCGGAGGAGTAGCACCAATGAGAGCAGCAGCAGCAATCCACAGGCGGATGCCTGATAACTTGGATCAAGAGAGTATACAACCATGTTGGAGGAGTAACACCAATGAGAGCAGCAGCAGAAGAAGCAGCAGCAGCAGCAATAACACAGATGGGTGCATGACAACTTGGCGCAAGAGAGTAGATACAAATCTCGCCACACGTGGTAAAAACCCTTCAAGAAACGTTGCCCCTTGTTCAGCAACCCGTTCGACCCGCGAAAATCGAACACACCCCCGTCTAATCTCAAAGAAAGAAATTTCATTTCTTGAGCTCAAGCTAGTCCTAAAAAATAATGCCACCGGGTATTGTGGGTGTTGTACTACTGTGCGTGTGTGTCATAGGGGATTGGGGGTGTACTCATGTAAACGCTTGCCGAAGCCGTGAGGCCATGGACCTCGCATCCCTACAATGCCGGGCGGAGGGATACATATGGTGGGTTTTCGCTGGCCCAGGCTAGATACGTTTCACAAGGATGAAGGTGTCATCTTGTGCGTGTGTACCTGTTGTCGCAAGCGGCATCATTGCGATGGAGGGGGGGGGGGGGGTCTTATCTTGCGTGGGTGGGTGTCCTGTTCTCGCGGTGCGGAACATGTACATATAACTCCCCTATATTTTGTCCCGGTCACCCTCTTCTCTTGCCTTTTCCTCAGGTCCGAAGAGAGACACCGATTGCCCTGCTGCTGCTCCTGCTGCTCGCGTTCTCCCACCCTCCAAGCCGAAACCGTGCCTGCCGCCTCCGCGCGTGAACCAATCAAACGCAGCACCGCCCCCCAGCGACGCCGACGCCGACGCCTGAGAAGTGCTGTTCGCGTCGTCCTTGGCCTTGACCGGCGACGCCGACATCGAGGCGGGCCTCCCCGGGGTGTTGTCGGCAGCAGCAGGCGTTGCCGCGGACCCACGCCCACGCCTCGCCAAGTCTCTCCGGCTGGACGCCAGCGCCAGGGCAAAGAATACTGGAAGGAGCCCCACCATGGCGGCAGGAGTAGCTGCTGCTGCTGCTGCTGCTGATGATGATGATGATGATGATGATGATGTTTCGCAGCAGGCCTCGAGTGAATAACAGCAACGAGACTCGGCTCTATAGTGTGGAGTGCGCAACGAGGGGGGGAGGGTGATGGAAGTCAGTTTCAGGTTGTGGTTTAGTAGGCACGCGCATACCACCGCTGTTCCTCGCAATCGACACCGCACCACCTACGGAGCGGAATTTGCAAAGGCCGGGGGTGGCAGGCACTTATGTGGCAGGCAGGCCCTGCTGAAAAATGTAAAAAAAATGTGGCCGGAGAGATATGACGCTCTATCAGATCAATAAATTGACGGTGGGATGCATGAGAGACCCGCGTCCACTTATATTCTGCTGTATGCATAGTCTAAAAGAATCAGAGATCGACCGCCACGGGTTGGCTTGTTTTCCAACCCCCCCCCAAAAGTTGAATATTTAAGTAATTGTGGTTTCGTATTTTTTGTGTTTGAAACGCGCACATGAAAATGTATGGGTGGGTTTGGGTATTTTTTCCTTCGGTTTTGGGGAAGCAACATATGGCAGGTTAAGGCTTCAAACTAATTCCACGGCCCGCCTGCTTGTTGTCCAAGATCGGGCACATGAAAATGATTGGGGGGGAGGAGTACTTCTTGCGCAGCACGTGGGATGAAAAGCAACCCTCGTCGCTCTCCGTATTGCAACGGCTGCAACCCGAATCGCCAGATGTAGACTAGCACTAAGTTTCCATGCTCCTCTCCAACATGGTTCCTATGCATACATGGTACAGTAGCAAGTATCAGAGTTTCAGTATGGGCCTACTCTTACCGTGTGTGTATCATGTATGAATGTTGCGCCCCAATACTGGAAATTAAAACATACACCCAAAACAAAGGCAAAACACGCCCACCGAACCCATGCATATGCATATGACCAACAACCCAAAACGACATCAGCAGAACTTTTGTCCTGTCTTCTGCAACTATTTACAAGTACTTGCTATTGATAGATTGCCTGCTAACAAGGCACCACCAGATGTGATCACCATGCTCTGCTTCCGAGAGTGGAGATGGTTTGCAGCGTGTGTATGTATGTATGAGAACGGCCGGGAAAACACGCGGGAGAGCAAACGCGCGAAAAAAAGAGACTACAGAAGCGGAAAGAGCTCGACGAGCAGACACGGTACTCCAACCCATGATCCGTCATAAATCATGAACGATGATTCGAACCATCTCACCACCTGCCGTTTCCGTGTTACCACATCGTTTGCTAAGCATCAATTGAAGAAAACCCTAGTCTAGGAATGACTTAAGGAGCAGTGGCCAAAATCGGGTACACCCGGTCCAACCACGGCCATAATCGGGTACCCCCAGAAGATGCTGCTGCGCGACCGCATGGCGCACCATCCGATTGGCCGACGCCAGCCCCTCCCCGACCTTGACCGTCTTTCCACCGGGTGCACCCGATCTTGGCTACTCATCCCCTGGAGGGGTACCCGGTTTTTCTTTCCCCTACCCGAAAGTGGCTGGTTGTTCGGCCAAAACCCGTTCCCACATGCACATGTCAGCAATGCCCTGCCCTCGAATTCGGACGTTCCGACGGTGGGCAGAGGCGGACCCACCGCCGGTGGTGGAACTCTCGCTTGGCGGAAACGGCAGGTGGTTGGTGCAAATGATCAAGAAGAGCTGGATGAAAAGCTCACTCACGAGATGCGGCGCACACGAGACGCGTGCCTCTAAAAAATAGGCACGATAACGTGCTCTCTGCCCCGCCTCTTTTTCATTGGCGACAAACGAGCGGCCAGCGGTGTGCATCCGACCCGTGATTGTGTGATTGGTTTTGGCCGAACAGCCCAGCCATTTTCGGGTAGGGGAAAGGAAAATCGGGTACCCCAGGGGTGAGTAGCCAAGATCGGGTGCACCCGGTGGAAAGACAGTCAAGGTCGGGTAGGGGTGGGGGTCGGCTAATTGGATTATGTCATACGGTCGCTCCCAGCAGCATCTTGGGTACCCGATTATGGCCGTGGTTGGACCGGGTGTACCCGATTTTGGCCACTGCTCACTAGTTAAGTTGGCATCATATGCACACCACATGTCAGCACTGCATGTGCCGTAATGTAGCAAGCAAATCCAGCTGTTGGCTGTCAGTATTTCAGCGAAAGAGAAAGGGCGGCACTATTTAAGGCGCGAATGTGGATAGGTATAGGCAGAGATAGGCATATATGCAACGTGAGCTTGAAGTTACGAAGAAACCATTAAGCACACTTCTGGTGTGTAGTGGATGCGACTACACCACTACTCCCGGTAGCACATGTGTAGGGAGGGGCCGCGCAACGCACCCCCCCGAGTCACACACCAATCTTTTTGTACACCTTTTGTGTGCAGCAGCAACAGCAGCAGCAGCAGTCTAATGGTCGGGTGGGGCGGTGGGCGGGCGGTGGGCGAGTATGCGAGGATCCATCCAGTGCACCGACAAAGCGGCCTATAGAGGGGGGTGTCACCGCCGTTTTGTGTGTGTTGAACTCCCGCGCTGCCGCTGCTGCTGTGCTGCTGCTGCTCTGAACGCGTACCGTGTGTTCGCAGTGTGCCAGCGCACCACCCCTGTCTTCATGTACTCTCCATGCGACGGCTGGCTGGCTGTGCCTGCCTGCCTCGTGCGGGGTATTCTCAGAAGAACGAGACAAATTTGATCTACTGGAGAATAGAGTCGGTGAAATACAGTATCGCTGTAGTCGGAACATATGTTGACAGGAAAACATACCTAGCCCAAGTTCTCTCGATCAGAATTCTTCTAGGGCCCACGCACAGCTCGGCTCTCTCCCCCACTGGCGCCCTTGCTGCTGGTCGCAATCTATTTGGCGCGCACCTGCTGCTGTTCTTGCTTGGCGGCGCGCTAGAGTGGAGGATCGCCAGGTAGGGGGAGGGGCGGTGCTATGCGGTCATCTCCGGAGATCCACCCAAACAGAGCGAAAAGCATCGATCGAAGAATCATGTATGGCGAGGCCAATGGATCGCAGAGGGATGCGCGAACGCTGACGACTAGATGCGATTGTGTGATGGGTACACTGTCCCCCTTCAGCCCGACCGCCCCCGTCGTGCCGGATAGACATGTGATGTAGACGATGGCCTTGGCCGTATGCATAAATTTACATTTTGGCCTTGGCCGTTTACTCCAACCCGTGGTCACACAGAAGAGCCCCTCTCTACCCTCCCCTCCTGCGGTACTTTGCCTTCGATTTTTAATGCGAGAAGAGTTCAGCACTCTCTTCCCTCTGTGTACACACGAACTAGCGCCATCCACTAGGCCAGAAGCGGTAGCGAGAGAAAAACTCACTTTGCATGAAAAGCTCGCTTACGCCGGGATCTGAACCCCTGACCTGACCTGTAGAAGGTTTCGAGGATACCAACTACGTAGACCATCACCGGGGCGACCGGTATACGATACAGCATAAAAAAATCTCACTTTGAGGATGCGAAGCTTATACATGTCAATTACTGTGGGAACATCCATCTCCAAGAACTGACTCAAAGTACATTAGTCCAAGCGAGCGGTCCCTCCTGGTGAAACAATTCCATCCACTCGTTTGGACGGGTGAGCTGTAAGGTACGTGCTTGAGATATCTGCGTCATACTATACTACGGATGTGGACTGGGACAACTTGTTATTTTCCTCGTTGCAATCATCCCCAACCGGAAGACAACCGATTAAAACAAAAAGTTACTTGCCAGTAGGCTAGAACAACAGATAGTCTATACCGTTGTAGTACGGTCGGGTGAAAGTGAATTTCTCGAAGACATAGACAAGTTTACTCATGTTTTCAACGCAACATTAAACCTTCATTCCCTGCCCTCCTCGTAGAATTCCACGTGGTTTTGTAGGCATCCAGCCCAACCCAAAGGTTCGGCAAATAAGGGTGGCCTTGACGTCGATAGCATCAAGAGCAGCTATTATAGTCTAACTTATCACTCGGCCAATACTTGTTGGTCATTCTTCGCTCTCTAACGCACGCGCTGTAAACACACTGCGCAATCTTCCTGCAATCTTCACGAAACCCTTGGCAACATATACGGGGGACTGCTAACACTGGAGATGCTATCTATGTATTAGATTTTAAAAAACAACACAGGACTTGATGGCGACAACGGCGAAAACGACGATAACGACGAAAGCAAGATGACACAGCTGTCACCTTGCTTCTTCTACGCTATTCAACGTCCAGACAGGGTTGGTTATACAATTAGTGCACTGCTTAGGAAAGAGACAGCAAACGAATGGGATGACGCGTACACGAGATGCCTCAATAAACTAAAGTGCTAAATGGAGACTTTTCCCAGCAGCGATGCAAACAAATGGCTGGCAAGGACCAATCAGAGCTCCTCTCTACAAACCTGACTTGGAACACACAAAAAACAGATATTCTTGATACACAACGCGTCGAAGCCGAGCGTGGACACCCAATACTTAAGGGGAATGGACTGCCGGCTATCGGCTGCTAGACTCTGTAAAAAACGCAGATCGCACACAGCACATCAAGAGGTCTCCTGCCCCACCACGGGCAGGTCTACAACAAGGACATTTGGGGTGAATAGAGAACACTAAAAGGTAAAAAACACTTGAAACACAAACCCTCCTACGAACCACACAGCGACACACCTATACCGCCGAAGATTATTACATACCCGTATGATAACACGCCTGCAAAACTAGCCCTGCACACAACACGCCACCCTCTTCTGTATTTTCACCATGCACAGAACTGCCGTGTGAAAACGAAAACGCGATGCACATGGAACTTTGGCTGGCCGAGACGAAACGGGACATTTATCAAAACATTAACCAACCTCCGGTTACATATGTGTTCACCCACCATCCAACATGACTCTCTGGCTGCCGTTCTGTGTACGTGGCCGGTTCACTTTTCTACTGCACATCGGGCCCCAACACACAACGGCAACGCCTATAACGGCGACGGGGGTCGAGGAAGGGGCTGGAAGAGACGGCAACGCTCGCGGCTTTCTTGGGGAAAACTCTTAATCGTACCGTTGATGTTGTCGATAACGCCTTCGTACCACTCTCGGGAGGCGCACCTGCAATACAACACAGCAGTGTTTGCAAAGTACATGACGACCAATTTTGAGAGCGGTATCTTCAAGCACGGCGGCAAGTAGAATGCATATGTCTGATGTATGTATTCACTTAAAATTAAAAATATATTTAAAAATTAAATTGCAGTCTTTCTCTCCAAAGTACCGCAAACATCGGGGACATGGCACACCTGCGCGATCACCATCACACCACAAACATGCGCGAGTCTGCCCCGAACCTTGAAACGTCACCGACCAGACGTCACCCATACTCAAACGGTATCGCCTTACTATCATATGCACGTGTCGACTTTTGTTGATATGCTTGTTTATCAAGAACATGGGGAGATACAAGACGGAGGCAGGGCTGACTGACACTCACCGCTCGCCTAGTAGGCTGGTGCCCAGCTCGGCATGTACAGCGGGGTGCTCGAGCAAGCCCAGCTCGCTCAGACGAGAGCACATCTTCGCAGACACGACGTCGTACAGCTTTTGGTCAACCTTTGACGGGGGAAATCGAAAGCGAACGGAGGGCAAGAAGGAACATCAAGATGCAAAACCAGAGTCGCTGGCATGGAAACGAACGCTGTAGTCGGCAGACCATAGACCTCGCATCCCTAAAATGCCGGGACGGAGACGGGTTTTCGGCGACCCAGGTTTCCTTTCGCAAGGACGAACCAGCAGCTGGCCATCATCCTCCGGAGCAACCAGCACATCGCAGACGTTAGAACGCCGCGCCTAACCCTCGCGATCTAGAGCTGGAGAGCACCTCATCGATCTTCTTCCACACACTTAAAATCGTTCCGAAGGGGCTCGCGGCGGTTGGCACACGGTTCATGATAGATACAACTCTCCATGAGCAGAGGACGGCAAAACTAACGCGTGTGGTCTTGCCTGATTGGCGGCCCAAGCAGTGTCCCGAAGATCCTGGGTGATGGACTGCACTCTCCCCGGTCCATCATCGTCGGGTTGCAGCAGATCCAGCCTCGCTTCCTGGAGGTGTTGGGTCCCGGCGTCTCGGTCCCGTGCGAACGTACCACCTACGGCAAGGGGGGGGGGGGGGGGGGGGGCTGGGTGAGCGAGAGGCCAGCTGGGGTGCCAAACGTTTCCAATCTGGCACGGAAAAGCATGACAGCTAATCTTTGCTACATAGCCGTGTCTTTTTTTTCATCGCTGATTCCGCACGTGCTCACTCAGATTCGCGGCTCCTGTTGGTAGAAACAACGATACGCTACAAAACAATAACAGATGCTAGGTCGCGCGGCCTGCTCAGTGTCCGCAGCTGCAACGCCAACCCTAATCAAACACAGCTATGCTGCAGTATGTTGCTGGTTGGGTACGCAGGGCGTGCTCAGCCATTTCTGGTCCTCTTTGTGCTTGTGTGAGGTCCGAAATAGTCGACACGTGTCTTGCCAGAAGTCAACACTGCAGTCCCCAACATCTCTCATCATAACCCCACATCCCAATGCAATAACGTTCCACTTGAGTAGCTTCATCACGAGCACGTTGTTGACGCACACCATTCGAATGCCCCTCGCACGTGTCACAACTTCTCTCCCTCCTTCAAATCCGTGAGCGTACGAACAAGTTCCGCGATAGTGAGAACGGTAGGGCGGAGCAACCGGTACCGGCCCGGAACCGCACCAACTGGTTCTCCGCGAGGAAGGACGATACCGGCTGCCGACACGCGGCGCCGTGGATGCCGCTGCTGCCAAGAAAATCGCGAGGAATAATGAACGTGGCAAAAATCCAGCATCCCTAACGAGCAGAATTGGATCGTAGGTTAAGCAGCCGAGGTTGAACCGGAGAGGGGAGGGATGGTGGGTGAGCATTCAGCACATGCGTTTTACCTTCAAAGCGCCCCGCTGGCGGCGGAAGGCCCTCGAAAAAGCTCTGGTCAGGACGAATCCACGGCAGGGTTTCCAGCAACAACAGGGCCGACGTTTCAGGAGCTTCCCTGTGTTCCGTGTTGTAGCACGATGAAAAAAACGTAGCATCAGGAACGGGCCAGCGAGGGACGTCAGACGTACGCGACGTGGGGACTCATTGACCTTGAGATGAACATGTTGTGAAAGAACCTTCGACCAGACGTCGGCTCAGCTCGTTCCCACAAACGTCAAGCATTTGTGTGTTGGTATGCGAACAGCAAGGAAAGTACTGTGGTGGCCAACGAGGTAATGTACGTTGACCGGGGCATGCGGAACCACCAGCGTACAGCTCAAAAAGCCGTGGGAGGTCGACTTTACAAGGACACGCCGAATGTCAGAATCAGGAGATAGCCAAAACATGAAACTAATGCTGGTGGTCGAGTCAAATGAAGGAGGTGCGCGCTTTTACTCAGTGGCGGGATCAGGGCAGGCATATACGCAGAGGTTTATCAGGGGGGGGCTGCCCGCCCAGAGATGAAAAAATAGAAAAGAGCTACATACACACGTAGCAGCAAGCACACACGACCCTCTACCCTTGTGTGACCGAACATGGTACTACTTGTCCTATGCATAGCACTGGCACTGCTTACACCAAGGTGATGTGGTTGAACAGGCAGAGCCCTGCCAGCGCGGCCCCCAGCGTCTCCTGGCAATCGCTCCCGACGTCACCCCCAACCGCGTCCCCGCCGTCCTCATCGTCTTCGCTACCGCTGCCGTCGACAAGTCCTTTCGGCTTGGCGCCGCCGCCTTCCGCCCCCCCTCTGTCGGCCTCCAACGCGCGGTGCTTCCCGTCTCCGTCTCCGCTACTACTGTTTCTCGGGCTGTAGCAGACCGACACGCCGGCGTCGTAGGCGTCGTGGCCCGTGTACGTGCGGCCGGCAACGTTGCGAAATCCCTGGCTGTCAACCATCACCGCGAAGCACTCCTGCACCTCCCGCCGTGTCTTCGCCAGCAGGCGGACGGGCAGATAGGGGGTAGGACTCTCATTTCTTTTTCCTGGCCCTTGTCTTTGGAACGTTCATGATCCGTCTATTTTACGGTCGTTTCTCGCGGCGCCCACGCTTGGGGTCTTCCTTACGCGATTGCCACATTTTGTTTCGCAACATTTTCCAGCGCAACAAACGCGAAAATCTTCCTTAAGGGAGTGCAAATTTTTCGAGGCATTTTCCAGCCCAACAAACATAAAAAGATCTGGAATAATTACAGCAGTCTCAAACGAGCGCCGAATCCTTTCCAAGCGCCCGCTCACCTGTCCACTTCGGCGAGCGCAGGGGGGAGAGTGCGGCTTGCCACCGACGAAGAAAGCCGACATGATCCGCTCCACAGGCGACCGCAATTGAGAGAGAGAAACCACAGTCGCGTCAGCGAGGACTTGTCTGTCTACGGCGTTGTCCATGAACCCGATGACCTACAGATTCGGCAGGGTCAGGGCACGATGCACCGAAGTGGATGGGCAACCCGGACACACGGTCTTTGTGCCTTGTCCTTTGCTGCCCGCCTGCGATCGCAGGCTTCTTGCGATAAGAATTGGTGAATACTTGGATGAAAGGTCGGGATGGTAATAAGTTTGGTGGTCAAGACAAGAACAAGAACAACACCGTATTCCGCCTGTTGCAACAGCAGCGCGCTGTTGTCGCTGTTCCACCTCCAAGGGCACTCATTTTCCGATCGGCCTCATGTTCGCCAATCTCGTTTGTACTTCCTCCGGGGGAATGATGTACCCCAGCGTTGTACACGGTGCGGGGGTCAACTCGGGGAAAAGGGAGGTGACACCACAAAAAAAAAGAGTACGGTATTCCCGGGACAACTGCTTGTATTCAATACCCCTATCCGCAGCAGGTACCGTTCGTTCCCTCTAACAACTCAAGAACGGGGTTTGCCATTCTTTTGTCGTTTTCCAAAATAACCTCTGAGCCAAACTCAGCGTTATTGGGGGGGGGGGGGGGTACTCATTTGTTGCTTGCCGTAGTCATTTGACCATTGACCACGCGTCCCTTTCGAGACGGAGAAGCGGGGGGGGGGGGAACAAGGTCGCTAGGCAGATGGTGCTCCTAACTGCTTCTGCGCAGTACAACAGCAGGGGGCGACAGGAGACACGAGAAACCACACCCTACCTTGGGGCACAAGCAGGTCTCTCGTCCGGGCAGCCCACCGGGGGGTCCCCGGGGAATCGACACTTGGGACCGCCGCTGACGACAAAAGACGACTTCACGGAGCACCCCACCAGCCTCCTCGCGACTGTGCTCAGGTGACGGCTGCCCGTCTGCGGGACTCGAACAACCTACCATCGTATGGATTTCGTTTTATCCCGTGTTGGGGCACGGGCAGAACCGTGCATGTCGTGCGATCAAGAAGCCAGTTAGTAGGTCATAAAAAAAAATTCAAGCAAAACGAGGGGGACCTACAAGCCTCTGCTTGTGACCATCCTAGCAAGCCGTTCGGCGATTGAGGCTTTCGTAATGCGGCTCTTGTCCATTTGGAAAGGGGTGCCTATTCAGCGAGAATCGCACGGGCGGCGTGAGCGCACCGATTTTTCCCAGGCGCATGCCTTAGAATAGGCAATTAACCACCCGCCTGTGAAACAATGCTGCAGGCACGAAGATTTCGGTGTAGTTGCGCATGTTTCTGCCAAAATCAAGGGCACAAGACGTCAAACATCAGGCGGGCCGGCCCTCATTCGTGGCAGCCCGCCGCCTCATAAAATTGGTTCGAGCAAACTCCCGAGCGATATTATTGTAGTTTCAAGTCGTACGCATATCACATGAGCGAGTGTCTTCGGCGAACCGCCTCCTCCAGCAGTAGTTTCCTGCGTGTTGGACTGCGCCCTTCAAGTGCGCCAGATACATGACTACAGTATCTGTGGCATCTGCCGAAACCAAACGTGAGGGGCACAAGTGCTCCGCTATGCTTGGGCTTTCGTCTACAACTTGCGCTGCTGCTGTGACAGACCTGCACGGAGTCGAGGTGTCCATAAACCTCCCTCCCACGCGATGCGTCCGATGCCTCAGCAGATGACTTTGGTGATTTTTGACGTCCTTCGAAGAGAGTCAACGATAGCCGCAGAAAGCCGCCGGCATCCGCGTCCAACGCTCCCGCCGTAGGATCCTGGTTGAGTAGTCAAGTGGACAAGTCGTTGGGGGCGGGTTGTTGGGGAAATTCTTGCTGTCAATATTTTGAAGGGCAAGCAGCACCGCAACCGCCCCGGTTGAGTCTCATTTGACGGCAATGGCAATCGCGGTGTACCGTAGCTTGCATCTGAGGTAACGTGTCGGCACGCGCATCGCATCCCTTATCTACACGTGACTTGAAAGGGATACAACCAGGCGACAAAGATAGGAAGCAGGTAACGCAGGAAGCGAGGCAGAAGTAGACCACGGGCCAGGTCCCGGACCCTCTCTGCTTGTGTGGCGACAGATATATGTATCTGTCAAGGACACAATCGGGAATAACAGAGAGCCAAGAACTGCCACATGACATATCAGCAGTGGAACCCAACTACATAGGTAACACTCACCCATCCGACCTCGACTCGAAAAGGCTAAGCGCAATCAATCAAACCAATCGACCGATGGGATCTATGTACTGCTCAGCAGTAATGCGGTTGCTGCAATCGTCTTTATCCTGCCTGCAACCCACAGCTCATCCAAAGACCCAACAAATACATCACAGATAGCCTCGGGTATGCAGTATGCACCCTCCCCTCTACCTATATATAGACTACAGATACACGCAGCAGTTGCCGCAGTGTTCCTACTCACGTGGGGTGTAGATGCGGATGAGCCTGCCCTGGTGCTGCTGCTGTAAACCGAGGTGGGCCTGCTGGCGGCGTTTATCCAGCATCTCACCAAAAGCTGCACCCAAAAGACAGTAAGAGAGCCGATGAGTAACACCTGGGCTAAGACAGAGACGACGCGGGGGACGCACGGGCTTGAAGTCGGAGCAGCCATAGGCGGTGTGGGCGTGACGTGGGTCGCAGGCAGGCCGGATGGGGACTGTTGAAAAACTCAGTCGCCGAAATTCCGAATTTCCTGATTGGTCCGGCGCCATCGGTATTCAACCGCCAGCATCATCCTAAGTGAACCTGTGACCACCGGAATCGACCGCGTCGAGCCTCGAGGTGCTGAGGCACACATCAGACTACGTGGTTGCTGCAGCCTATTTAGATCGATCATGACCTGCCGTTTGTTTTGAGAGTCTACACATCAGCAAAGAAAAAGGCATAGCAAATGCACGCCTGCAGAACAGTTGTAGATTCATGTTGTGGCGTAAACGAATTGGTGAGGTTCGGCCGAGAGGTGTATAGAAACATAGAAACCAACGGAAGCGAGGAATGTAGAACCAGGCCTGGGAATTGTTTGTTTATATTATTCCTTAATTGTTTGGCTGGCACTTTCTGTGTTTCAGTGTCACTACAGTAGTTTCGGTCGTCTCTCCTTTTTCATAGTACGAAGTAGTTAGTGTGGAAGTAGCGAGCCCCACATACCACCACAGGCAAAACCCCGTGTCTCCACCTCACCGCAGGACATGCAGCCTGCGCGTACGGATTTGCCATTTCGTCAGCGCGCGTACGTAGAAGACGTGTCCGTGTGGCGGCTGTGTCCAACATGTCTACAACAAAGAGAGGGGGGCGGGCACGACCCGAAAGGTAGTTGATTTGCTCATCCGCGATCAAGGGTGATCTTTCATCCCTCATACAACCACCTGTACACTGTAGTATCCACCTCACCGCAGGACTCGCATGCATGCACGTACCCGGTGTTTGGCCATACGGTGAGCCGGTGGCAGCCTGTCTCACAACCGTGAACGGGGGGGCGGTTGTTGTTGTTGTTGTCTTCACATTAAACATCTTTCAGTCTCTGCTCAGTACCTTCTGACACCCACTCGTTTCACTCCAGGTCTTTCGGACACCTTCCGCGGTCAAAGGCCAACCTACCTGCCCCATAAGGTACATGCTTCTTACAGCAAAAAAAAGGCAACATGACCCAGAAAATCTTCAATGAACTCGAAAAACGAAAAACGAAAAAAGCCCGGTCGGACGGGTGCTTGTTGTTCATGAATAGCACGGGTGGGTCGTCGGCAGAGACAACTGCCAAAACGCAGCGCTGAACATCCGTTTACGATGACTGGTATACCGAGTTGCCACCACTTGTTTCGACCCGTGAAACTTTCTTACCAGATCTACATATCTGGCCTGTCATAGGATATGACAACATGCCAATCCCCTGTGAGATCTACTCCCTTACACCAATATGGTGCGCATCTTAAAAACACGGAGCAGAATATATTCCCAGTAGTTTGAAAGAGGGAAGTAGTGGCTAATAATCAGGAACCTCCTAGCTCAGATCACAGCCTGGGAAAAACTCACTTTGGAGCAATAGTGAACTTGGGCTTCGGCGTGGCGTCAATAGGCCACACTCAACCATCAGGTAGGAGAACCGTTCCATGAAGAGCAGATCGGAGACCATACACCCAACAAGGCAACTGCCAGAACACTCGAGCTGCACTCCAGTTAATTAAGTACACCCAAACACTGCTGGAAAAGCTCCCCGTCCCAATTGAAGGAAAATACTATAGTACCTGGTGATCGTCGGGCGCAAGACACACCCCATTAAAATCGTGCTGCGCATGACGACAAAACCGAACAATCAACGGCAATGACAACAACCGATTCAGCCCAGCCTACGCATAGCGACAGCAGAGGATATCCGATGTCGTGCCACCACGCACATACTCATGCCACCCTTGGTTTGGGGCAACGACAACGAAGAAGGCCATGGGAATCCGCCAGGGCGCGTGAGGACAGGTGCTTTGCCGAGAGCCACGAGCCAACACGGCCCGCTGCTTTGCTTGTACACAGCCGGTTGTCTCCATTCCAGTACCAAAGCCTCGCCAACACCGGCCCGTCCGTTACATCTCATCACCCGCATCCTCGTTGTCGTCCCTCATGAGCTCGTCCGGCAGAGGAATCTTGCGCAATCGTTCGCGGAAATCGCGATCTTGCGCCTCCTCGTGTACCTCCCCCTGTACCCCCACGAAGTTCACGATCTGCCACAACAAGCATACGACAGGCACACACACACACACACACACAAGTGCTTGGTTACCCTTTGATTAGGCAGCAGTGTTCGTGTTTTTTGTCGCGCTACAAGCTCGTCTGACCAAGAAGCTAACTTTCGTTCTTTCATGTCCCACTCTGCTGTTTCAACGAATTTAGACTTCAAATTTGGCGGGTGCTCGTATAAGACCATAGGGGTGCCGGAATTTTTCGGATCTGAGTTGATTTTAGGTATATAACTATCAATTGGCGGCATAGTTGGGATACTTCCTGTACTGAAATCAGCATAAAAAAAAGTTTCTCAGATCAAGCTGAAAATTGCTGTGCATGTACCTGGGAACATCGCGAGAGCAAAGATAGTAGTCATCAGAAGTTATGGCCTATTAAAGAATCCGATACAACACACGAGATACCTGAGGCAACGTAAGGGTCTCGCGATTCCCACGCTGTTTTTTCGAACTAGGAGCTGAAATTTCGACACGGCATCCCCATGAGTACAACAAACAAATAAGCCACTGCGCCATTTGACTTTTTTCTTTTTTTCTGCGACTTTTTGGCATAGCAAATATTCCCATGAATACTAATATCAGCCTAACTTGCGAAATAAAAAAAAAATCCAAATGGCGCAGTGGCCTTTGTGTTTATAGTACTCATGCAGATGCCGTGTCAAAATTTCAGGTTCTTACTCGAAAAAACCGCGTGGGAAATCCGCTCCAACCTTCAAATTTGCGTCTTGGTCAGACCAGCTTGTACAAGAATTACGTCTTTTCATTGGTCAGCCAATTAACGAGGTCGATGCCGACTAAATAAGAAAGCACAAACAAGCGCGTGTGAAAATTCCGTGCACGCCGCAGGAGACAAGGCAAAAATGCGCGTGTTTTCTCAGCTCGATGTGAACCAACAACAAGACGATGAGTACCAAATGGCAGCAGCAAGAGGTTGGTTGGGCTGAGGCAGTGCTGTACCACATGCTTTGTTGGCGAAGCACAACGACACGCGAGCTGAGTCTATCGAACCACCGCGGGCGGTTAATCCTGAGTGGAAACAACTCTTATTCTATGGGCGGACTTGGCGACACACGTGTGCAGTACAACTGAATAACAACCTTGGAAGCGCCGACGTTCTCGGAATGCCGAGCGCATCGTGGAACTTTGGCCATCACTCCATCGAAATTTAACCCACTACACAGAAACCCGCATGCGTCACGTCTTTAAGCCGTTGTTTGATGTACCTTTGCAACAAACTACAAGCGAAGAACGAAACGATGTGCCTGCAAACGTATTAATCGATGCCCACCTTTCCGGTGTCGTCCCGCAAAGCCGCCACAAAGAACTGGTTCCAGAACGGGGTACCGTCGGCCTTGTAGTTCATCAAGCACACGCTCGTATCTCTGAAGCAATAAACCAGCAACAGAGTGTGTCGTTCAACTACTTGCGGTTTCTCGAGTAGCGAGATGCAACAAGATTGCCGTACAACGGCATTGCATCTGGGGCATCATCAACCGAAATCACAAGATAGGCGCCGCTCGACACCAAAAAACGCCTGCAGCCGCACCGGAGGAGGGCGCAGCACTTAGCCCATGCTTTCGCTCCTCTCAGCCTTCGCTGGGATGCGCACAGTCAGCCAACAGAACTCCGCCAACCCATTCTATTTTCGCGTTTGTTTCGATGAGAATCCATGACATAAACTAGGAGTCTGCCGAACGACGCCAGAACCCAGGGTGGCCCTGCATGGGCCCATCAATCAACCCCGGTGGCATTCGGTTCGGTCCGCAGCGCCAAACGCTCGTTCGTCGGGAAAAAAAACAAACACACGAAGAAAAAATGGTCGTACTTCGTAGAAGACGCTCGCAACCAAGGCCACACCGTGACCTTTTTCGAACGACAACTGACCTTCCCTCCGCCACACCCCTTCGGATGATATCGATTGCCCTTGGGTCCGTTCCCGGCCCCTGCATCACAACAAGAACATCAACAAGCGGTAAACATGCGATGACGGCGGGACATAGAACCAGCAAGGCACGCGGCCACGAGCGGGACGGACCGCAAACATTAGTATTTGGACTGCAGCCAACCGTCCGGATCAAGAGAACACAGCACGAGCGACAGGAGTGGACCGTTTTCCCTTCTTGTGGTGTGTGGTGTGTGCGCGTGCGGTGCCGCTTGTCCCGGGCGTGAAGCCCCAATCGGATACAACGAGGTACATACTTCACATTTCAACGAGGCACATTTTACTGCCCCCCGAGATCGAACTACGGTGTGATCTCTCTAATGGAGGCTAGGCATCTGCCGCTCAGCTTTCGCACAGACGGCCTCCTTCAATGTCAATGTGATACACCCACCGACCACGTCACAGTGCACGCATGCCACACACCCGACCGGGCTGTCGGGGGTAACAGGCAAAAATAATAAATAGTAGCACTCTGTTCGGGAATATAGTACCGATTTGGGGTTAGGGCTATGGTTAGCAAAAACGCCTTAGAATTAGAAGGTCGTGAGTTCGAATCTTCCCTCTGACTTTGCCCTCTCAAGTTGCTCACTTTTCCAAAAAAAAGTATTTTCACCGGTTGACAGCAAAGAAGCAACCGAAGTACTTGAATGTGTGGGTTTACAGGTAGCATAAGCTGTCAAGATTACAAAGCAAAAAAAAACAAAAAGAAACAAATCTTTTTGAGCCCGTACGAGAGAAAAACGGGACCTACTGCCCGTTGTCTCGGGAGATCCACATGCGGGGAGTTTTGTCTCAGATGGGGGGATGAAACTTATCCATCCCCTGTTTATGAGTTTATTTCGTACACTCTACCTTGTCCGAGCATACCGCAAAGGAAAGTATGCTAAAAAAACGTGTCGAACACCCCAAACTACAAATCGGTACTATATTGCCGGATAGCCAAATCGGTACTATATTCCCGAACAGAGTGGTATCCTGTACCCGAAGTTACGTACGCAAAACACAGGCTGTCTGCTGCAAGCACCACCGCTGCGTTACCAGTGCCCTACAACTGGAGCGACGCTATCTGTCACCTGCAAGAAGCGGCAGTTCCGCCCAATGACGTTCTGGATCGTGTACCCCGTCAGCGTGAGGAAGCCCTGCTAAACGGGAAATGCCAAAGATGGAGGAAAGGTAGGCAGGCATCAAACAGAGCAATCGCAAGGCAGGCAGAGAGCCGACATCAGCCACACGAACCTCACAGCAGGAAATCGACGGTTCCTTCACGTCGCCCCCCCCCCCCCCCCCCCGGTTATATCATCAACGAAAAAAACAACAACCCCAGGGAGGAAACACGCTTCCCAAGAATCCCCCGGGTGGGGTAAAACAACGGGTTGTCCCGGATGGTAAGGGCCCAAAAGGGGAAATTTTGCTGGGTCCTCCTGAGGGCCTGCCTCC